AGGAGGCTGAGAGGAGAAGTCCCCCGCTGACCCCCTCTGGCCCAGAGCTAAACTCTGCGTCCCTCGGCCAGGAGCCGGTCAGCACCTCCCCACTGCGACCGTCCCGTTCAAGGGGCTTCCCAAAAGAGGCCCAGGGCCACCTAGGTGCACGAGCAACAGCCACTGACCTCACCCGCAACCGCTGTGGCTCCCCAAGAACGTCAGCCTTGAATTAAATGACCATTTGCTGCTCTTGAGTAGCTTTGGAACTAGAGGCCCGTAGAGGATGTTCAGATCAAAACCTCAGCAAACCAACCTGGACTCCTTTTCCCCTTTCTCCCCACTTCAGCTGGGGGGTGGGGATAGTCCAGGGAGGGGGCAGCACAGCACCCGGGACCCTCGGCAGATTGCATGCCCTGCTCCTCTGGGGCCCGGTCATCCCTGAGACGGCCAAGAACAAGCAGGCTTGTTCTGAGGCATAGAGCCAAAGGGCGGCTGGTTTTGAGTGCAAAGCTCTGTTGGGCTCCCTTCCCTTCAAAGGGCCCAAGAAGGCGGGGGGTCAAGGGTCAGCCAATCTCCTTTTTGCGCAGGGAGTTTGAGGAGACGATGGACGCCCTGCAAGCCGACATTGACCAGCTGGAGTCGGAGAAGCTGGAACTGAAGCAGCGGCTCAGCAACCAGTCCAAGCACACCATCCAGGGCCTGCGCGGAGCGGCCTCCCCCTCAGGCATCGCCTCCGTCATCTCCAGCATTGCAGGAGGTGGGTCTGGGGCGGGAGGGAGCATCAGGCCCTGGCATCAGCCGGGAGGCCTTGGGGAAAGGGCAGCGCCATTTCAGGGGCCGCTTGGGTAGCCAAGAACAGACTCCGGCATCAGCAGAGGGTCGGAGGCGCTGCCAGGCGCAGAGCATCAGAGGGACGCCTGTTTCGACCAGCGCCTGGGTCGGGCTCCAGGGCGCTGAAGCTTTGTGGGCGCAGTTCCACCCGCTGCACTGTTCGTGGTCAATCCCGGCTTTGTCCATGCTTAATACCACCACAGATTTCCCACTCCCCATGCACAAAACTCGCTGATGCCTGGGAAAGGAGCTGCCCCCGCTCCCCAAGTGCTGGTGTCCCACCTTCCTGCTTGCGGGGCTGAGGGGGGCCGAGGGGCTGCCATTCCGGGCTCTTCTCTAACGGTGCTCCTTCTTGTCTCTTTCATGCTGTGGCTGCAGAGGAACAGCAGAGAGGTACAGGGGGCTCCCGGGGGGGGGGCTGGGCCGGGCAGAGCAGGGGGCACCTTCTGGGCCAGGGGCTCGGGAGCCCTGCGAAACGAGGGGGGCAACCTGCCCCAGCGAAGGGCTTTAAAACTATGAGCTGCCTCCCTCCTCTTTGCCAACGCTTTCCCCAGCCCTGCAACCTGTGCTTGGGATAGGAGAAATCTGGGCTGGGGGGGCAGCCCCCTCCCTGGGACACTGCCCGGGAAGCAAGTGCCCAATATGAGCCCAGGCCGACGTTTGGTCCCCCCAATGCCTTGGGGAGGGGGATGCTGCAATCATGGATCTAAACGGCTGCCCAGGCCATTCATTCCCTGGCCTCTGACGGTCGTTGGCCAAGGCTCTTCCAGCCAGCCCTGCCCAGGCGGCCTCTGCAGGGAGGCCGCCTCTGCTGATGGCCGCCTCCGTCTGCCCGTCTCTCCTGCAGGGGTGGGGGCCAGCCAGGTGGTGGCCGGGGGTTCTGGCCCCGTGCAGGTGAAGGACTCCCCTCTGCTGCTGCAGCAGATCGAGGCCATGCAGCTCTCCCTCAAGCACCTCAAAAACGAGAATAACCGGCTGAAGGTGAGAGGCCCGGGCAGCTGCCGGGAGCCCTGAGAGGCCTGGAGCAAAAGCTTTCGCACGGGAGGGGAGGGGGTGACCTTCCCTCTCCCCTCACCCTACCAGGGACTCCCTTTCCTGAGCCGTCCCTCACCCTCCCAGAAACGGGGGAATCGGGGGGGGGGAGTAGCTGCCGAGTCTCTTGAGCCGCTCCCAGCGGTTCCTGCCCCCTTCTTGTTCCCCAGGGTGCCCAGATGAGGAGGGAGCTGGCCTCGCTGCCCCCCCTGCACGTCCCCAAGCTCTCTCTGGCCAAGGACAGGCAAGGGGACGAGGTGGTTTCCAGCTCGTTGTACCGCAAGACCAGCCGGCTGCTGGAGACCCTCCACCAGATGAGTGCCAACGCCCGGGTGGTGGACATCACGCGGCGGAAGGCAGGTGCGCCAGGGGGTCTGGGAGCAGCGGCAGGAGGGCCCCTTCCCCTCCTCCTCCCCTTCACCGCTCTCCCTTCCTCCTGCAGTGGGCAGTCCAGCAGCTCAGCTCCTGGAGCAGACGACCCGCCTGGCGTCCCTGAGTGAAGCCCTGGAGAAGCTGAAGGTAGTCCCTGGGAGGGGTGTGTGTGTCTCTGAGGGTGCAGCTCCTGCCAGAGGGGGGCTGAAAGGTGGGCAGAGTGGGGGGCAGCTCCTTGCTCTCTCATGGCCAAGGGCCCCTCTGGCCCCCCAAAGTTTTAGATCAGGGGTCTCCAGCTTGGCAACTTTAAGACTTGTCGACTTCAACTCCCAGAATTCCTCAGCCGGCCTAGCGGGAGCTGTGGGGTTCCTGGCTGAAGTCTGGGGGCTGACGTCCACCAGTCTTAAAGTTGCCAGGTTTGGAGTCCCCCGTTTTAGATCTTGGGGCAGTTCCGGAATGACCGCTGCGCTTCTCTTCTGCTCCAGGATGAAGTCAGGAAGGAGACGGTCCTGCAGCACCCCGGGGCCAGCATTCCCACGGACTTCGGCACCTTTCCCTCCGTGCCCTTCCTGAAGGTGGGGGTTCTGGCTGGGCCGGGGAGGGAGGCAGCGGGTGAGTTGCCGCCGGCCCTTCTGGCATTCCTCCGCCTGCCCTTCTCTCCTCTCCAGGCCAAAGAGGAGGAGAAAGACAGCGCCGTCTACATCGGCCGCGTGACCGTCCCCTGCCAGCCGGGCCACGGGCAGCTGCACAAGCTGGTGCTGACGCCGGAGCAGCTGCACAAGCTCCACAGCCGCCTGATCTCTTAGGAGAGCCCACCTTCCTCGGCTGCCTCTTGGGTGCAGTTGGCAGAGCGGCCCTTGGCTCTGCCGGGGACTCTGCGCCGCCTGCCACACGCACCCCAACTGGCACCACTGCTCCCCTTCCCAGAGGCCGGGTGTGTGTGTGTGTGTGAGTCTTTGTGGCGACACAGAGGATGCTCAGTCAAGGGGAGGGTCGCTTGAGAGGAGATGCTTTGTTTTGCGCTCTCTTCACACCCCAGCAGCTGCTGGCCACTTTCTGTCCCTCCGCTGTTCTGGATAAGGCTTCCTGGTGGGAAGAGCCCAGGTATCTACAGGCCCCGCAGAGCAGGCCCTTCCTTGCATGCTGACGTCCTTGGAGGACTGGAGATAAATCTATACACAAATAAAGCTGTCTGGAACCCAACCTGAGCTGCAGCATCATTCAGCCGCTGGAGGCCTCCCGCTCTGCTCTCCTTCGGCTGCTCTTCCTCCTTTCCTGGCCCAAGCAGGTCTCCTCTGCTGGGGGTGCAGCAAATGGCCTTTCACGTCTGGTTTCCCTCCCTGCACTCAGTGTGACTCGCAGAGCGTGTTTGTGCACCTGAAAGCACATAGTTGCAATTACAATGGCAAACGCAGTTGATGGCTTTGCTGCAAGGGTGGGGCTCACGTGGGCTTCTTTACACATGGGAGCCGGTTGGGAGGGGGGTGTTGTGTCGAACTGACCTTAGGCCACTTTCAGATGGCTTCTTTATGCCAACCACAGAAGGCAGCCAAAGGCAGTATTCAGCATTCCTAAGCCCACCTCACTTCCAGCCAGAGCTGCCCATGAGATGCCTACTTACTTTGAATTCTCAGGACAGACAGAGGCAGCAGGGCCCTAATTGAGGCTGCAGGAAACGGCTCTGTGGCCGCCCTGTTCCAGAGAGGCCGGGCCCTCAAGTCCTCCCAAGAGTACCAGGGCTCAGACAACAGAGCAGCTCTTTTCAGCTGCTTTAGACACCTTTGAGCGTATAAACACTTGCGTTGCTTGGCCGGACCCTCCCAGGATCTAGGGGGGGCTGTAGCTCCTGGACCCCAGACTCACCCAACACATTTCACTTTGCCCAATCCCATCCCCCAGCGCCAGCGTCTCAAGGGCCATTCACCTCTGTGCAGGCTTCTCTGCATTGCTTACGGCTACCAAGACACAACAACACAGCGGAAGTTGTAATTTACCCTTTATAAGTCCCCCAAATGGCCATGTAGGATGGCTGAGGACATGAAGCAAGCAGCTGGCGTGTATCATTGGAAAGAAGGCTGAATATGGAATTAGTGCAAAAGTTAAATAGCCTTTTCCATATTGAGAGAATATTTCATTATTTTCCTTTTGGGAAAGATGTTGGGGCAAATTGTTTCCTTATCCGGATAGCATCTGATCTCCAGAAGACATTTCATCTTCAAACGAGACTCGTGTGGCAGCTTTATCGGACGCAGCGCCGGGCTTTGGAAGGCTGCTGCTCCCATTTCTCGCCAGAAGGCTTTTTGTCCGGGCTTCTTTCATCAGCCCGAGGGTTACACGTGAAGCAAACCATCAACGGACGGCAGTGTCCAGAATCGGATGCAGAACTTCCAAGTGGGGCCTTCCCCCGATCTGGACGCCAATCCTGTGCCCGAGACCCAACTGTTATGTTTTATGCGTTTTTTATTGTTAGCCGCCCAGAGACCTTCGGGAGTGGGGCGGCTTATAAATTTTAAAAATAAAATAAAATAAACTGGCCTTTCGGGCAGCTCCGTCCCGCTGCTTGCAGCCACCCAGCCCGGACTTGTGAAGAAGAGACCGGGCGGCCCTTTGTCCGAAATGGCACAAAGGGTTTCTTGCTGGAGCAGCGGGTTGGACTAGAAGGCCTCCAGGGTCCCTCCCAGCTGTTATTTTCCGGCATCAGAAGCCGGACCGGCCACTCCCATTAACCCCTCCCGCCGGCCTTGCGCCATCTCTGAGCTTGGCTGTCCCACCCCCAAGGGGGAAACCGCCTGGGCGCCATGGCAACGGGGGATGCCCCCAGCCCTCCCGCCAAGTCACCCCCCTCTTCCGCGCCGGGCCCGCCAGGAGAGAGCGGGGTCCAGGCAGCCCGCGGTCCCTCGCCTCCCCGCCGCCGAGCAGAGGAGAGGCGGATTTCGGCGGATGCGCGAAAGGCCGCGGGGAGGCGGGAAGACGGGCCCTCGGCCGGGCCCAGGCGCGGGGTTTCCCGCCAGGCGCCGCGCCCGGAAGGCGGCGCCCATTGGCCGGCGGGAGGGACGCCCCCTCGGCTGGCTTCAGCGCCGGGCGCGGCCGAGAAGACGGAAGGGGCGGGCTGCTGCAGGAGCGTTTCCGGCTGCGTGGGGCGGGCGCGTGGAGCCTTTTCGTCGGGAGCCGCCATGGTGAGTGAGCGGGCGGGGGAGGCGGGCTGGTCTGGGCGTCCGGCCTTGAGGCCCGCGGGGTCCCCTCTTTGTCTCCCCCCTTTTCCCTCCCCCGAGGGTGACGCCCTTCTGGTCCGCGCCCCGCAGGTGCAGCTGCACGTGCTGTTCGAGCACGCGGCGGGCTACGCGCTCTTCGCGGTGCGGCCGACGGAGGAGGTGTCGCTGCTGCAGCCGACAGTGGCGGAGGACGCGCTGAGCCTGGGCCGCTTCCTGGCCCTGGTGCGCCTCGAGACCTTCTCGCCCTTCCGCTCGGCCCAGGCCGCGCTGGAGAACATAAACGCCGTCTCGGAGGGTGAGCGGGGAGGGGAGGCAGAGGGGAGGGAGGGGGGGCGGCGGGGTTGGGGGCCCTCCGGGCTGACCGGCCCCTCCTCTCCGCCGACCGCGCAGGGCTGCTGCACGAGGACCTGCGGCTGCTGCTGGAGACGAGCCTGCCGGCCAAGCGGAAGAAGCTCCTGCTGGGCGTCGGCGACCCCAAGATCGGCGCGGCCATCCAGGAGGAGCTGGGCTGCCCGTGCCAGGCGGGGGGCGTCGTGGCCGAGCTCTCGCGAGGTGAGCGGGCGGGCGAGGGGGGAGAGTGGGGGGGCTCGTGTGACGGGGGGGTAGCGTGGCCGGAGCCCTGACGCCCCTTGCCCCCCCCGCAGGGATCCGGCTGCACTTCCACAACCTGGTCAAGGGCCTGAGCGCCCAGGCCGCCTCCAAGGCCCAGCTGGGGCTGGGGCACAGCTACTCGCGGGCCAAGGTGAAGTTCAACGTCAACCGGGTGGACAACATGATCATCCAGTCCATCAGCCTCCTGGACCAGCTGGACAAGGACGTCAACACCTTCTCTATGCGGGTCAGGTGAGCTGGCCGCCCTTCCTTGGGGGGAGGCTCTGCAGTTGGTCTGGCTGGACCTCCACCTGCCTCCCCCCCCCAGACCTTCCTGGCACCTTAGTCCCTGTGCTGGGGGGGGCTGCGGGGAGGGGGGAAGGCCGAGAGCTGCCACTTTCCTGCCTCCTTCAGCTTACCACAGGCAGCCGGGCCACCACCGCTGGCTGTATAGGAAGGGGAGGCACAGCAAAGGGCCCTCCGTACACCCCAGCCGGGCTGCCCCGTGCCTGAGCTGTGTGGTTTGTGCGGGCACAGGCTTCTCTGGCACAAATGGGGAGGAAAGGCACATAAGGCGCGACTCCCTTGTGTGTCACACGCTTGTCTCTTTGTGGCGTAGAGAATGGTACGGCTATCACTTTCCAGAGCTGATCAAGATTGTGAGCGACAACTACACCTACTGCCGCTTGGCCAAGCTGATCGGGAACCGCAAGGAACTGAGTGAGGAGAGCCTGGAGGCCTTGGAGGAGGTCGTCATGGACAGCGCCAAGGCTCAAGCCGTTCTGGACGCCTCCCGCTCTTCCATGGGTCAGTGCCCAAGGGGGAAGGCTAGGCGTTTCACGGGGGTTTGTCAGATTGAGGCCGTTTCAGCATAAGCCTTCGAGGAGTGGTCGCTAATTTACATGACCCCTGAAATTGTGGTCAGTCAGTGCATCACACTATGGACTTTAAAGAGTGTGCTTTTTGCTAAGTGGAATTTTCCCCCAATGGGATTTTCCCATGTATTTTACCAGGAAACATAGATAGGGCAGCCTAGAAAAGTCAGTGCCCTCCTAACCATACCCATTCACTCCGAGTTTGTTGGCAATGTCCATTTTGCTCTATGAGTCCATGGTGACCTAACCCTAACCCTAAGTGGAATTTTTCTCCAATGGGATTTTCCCATGTATTTTACCAGGAAACAGAGATAGGGCAGCCCAGAAAAGTCAGTGCCCCCCTGACCATACCCAAGCACTCCGGGTTTGTTGGCAATGTCCATTGTGCTCTATGAGTTCATGCTGGCCTAACCCTAACCCTATGTGGAATTTTCCTCCAATGGGATTTTCCCAGGAAACATAGATAGGGCAGCCTAGAAAAGTCAGTGCCCTCCTAACCATACCCAAGCACTCCGAGTTTGTTGGCGATGTCCATTTTGCTCTATGAGTTCATGCTGACCTAACCCTATGTGGAATTTTCCTCCAATGGGATTTTCCCATGTATTTTCCCAGGAAACATAGATAGGGCAGCCCAGAAAAGTCAGTGCCCCCCCCTGACCATACCCAAGCACTCCGGGTTTGTTGGCAATGTCCATTGTCTTCTATGAGTTCGTGCTGACCTAACCCTAACCCTATGTGGAATTTTCCTCCAATGGGATTTTTCCCATGTATTTTACCAGGAAACATAGATAGGGCAGCCTAGAAAAGTCAGTGCCCTCCTAACCATACCCAAGCACTCTGAATTTGTTGGCGATGTCCATTTTCCTCTGTGAGTTCATGGTGACCTAACCCTAGCCCTAAGTGGAATTCTCCTCCAATGGGATTTTCCCATGTATTTTCCCAGGAAACCTAGATAGGGCAGCCTAGAAAAGTCAGTGCCCTCCTAACCATACCCAAGCACTCCGAGTTTTTTGGCGATGTCCATTTTGCTCTAGGAGTTCATGGTGACCTAACCCTAGCCCTAAGTGGAATTCTCCTCCAATGGGATTTTCCCATGTATTTTCCCAGGAAACATAGATAGGGCAGCCTAGAAAAGTCAGTGCCCTCCTAACCATACCCAAGCACTCTGAATTTGTTGGCGATATCCATTTTCCTCTATGAGTTCATGGTGACCTAACCCTAGCCCTAAGTGGAATTCTCCTCCAATGGGATTTTCCCATGTATTTTCCCAGGAAACCTAGATAGGGCAGCCTAGAAAAGTCAGTGCCCTCCTAACCATACCCAAGCACTCTGAATTTGTTGGCGATGTCCATTTTCCTCTGTGAGTTCATGGTGACCTAACCCTAATCCTGTAGGGCCTATAGGAAAGTGTGCAGCTTGTCGTGTAACAGAGAAACGTAGGTGAGGGGGCTCAACTGCTGGCCTATTTGTGTGTGTGTTCGTGCACAAACAGAGACCAAGAGCCAGAGTTCCCTGTGTCCATTTCCAACTTCAGCTGTAATATAAACCACAGTTGTGGGTCCTTTGTAGGCCGTGTGCTGCATCCTGACTGAAAGCCAATAGGGGAGTTGGGGTCCTTATTCTTTTCCCCAACTCTGGTTGTGTACAGGAATGGACATCTCACCCATTGACCTCATCAACATCGAGAGCTTTTCCAGCCGGGTCATCTCCCTTTCCGAGTATCGCAAAGGCTTGCAGGAGTATCTCCGCTCCAAAATGAACCAGGTGGCTCCCAGCCTCTCAGCCTTAATTGGAGAAGTGGTGAGTGGTTTGGGGCCTTCACTTTTGCGTATTTTTGCGTACCTGCCTTGCACGGCGAGGGCTCTGGCCAGACATGATGTGCATTTGGAATCTGTCAATCCACTGAATCTCAGTGCTGAAACCTACCAATGCTGATCTGGGCCAGGGAAAGGGCTTAAGCGGCGTTTGGCCCCAGGGCTGCTTCTTGCGGTTGGATGAAGATAGGCAGGCAGGAGGAACAAGCCTCACTTCTGCTCCCGACCCAGTCAGGCCGGCCGGCCGGGAGCAGAGAGGGTTAATTTGGGGTTCAGGACAGAGAAGGCTTGGGGGCTGCGTACTGGAGTTCTTCTTGTCTCTTTGCCTCTGAGGCCATATGTTTTTCTCTCATTGTTTTGATCAGAATTTAATTTTTTATTGCGAGATGGGCAGCCACACAAATTGCATTAAAGAAATAAATCGGTCTGTTCTCTCCCCCGCAGGTGGGGGCTCGGCTCATTTCTCACGCAGGCAGCTTGACCAACCTGGCCAAGTACCCAGCCTCAACAGTTCAGATCCTGGGGGCGGAGAAGGCCCTGTTCAGGTAACCCTCCAGGCTGGCTGCTGGAGCGCTGGCACGCAGCCCCTGGCAGATGAGCTCAGCATGGACCAAGCACCTTTGGTCACACCCCTCCTGGCATGCAGCCAGGCTCCCCCCCCCTCCCGTGGGGATGGCTGAACTGGTGCCAAGGAGCTTGTCTGTATGGTTGTCTCCTCTCCCGCAGGGCCCTGAAGACCCGGGGGAACACCCCCAAGTACGGCCTGATATTTCACTCCACCTTCATCGGGCGAGCAGCGGCCAAGAACAAGGGGCGCATCTCTCGCTACCTGGCCAACAAGTGCACCATCGCATCCCGCATCGACTGCTTCTCAGGTGGGCTGCGGAAGCTTCCAGAGCGCCCCAGCCCCCACCTCCCCTCAGCCAGGGTGCCTTTCTGGCTTTGCCATGATGGGTACATTTTTCGTCAGCAGCATTTCACGCGCAGTGAATGTTGACAACAAAATATCTGAGCAAAGCCAGCAGTGGGAGGGAGGGAGGAGCTTTTACAGTGGCGGCACTTCTGCATGTGGTGCCAGCGTTGGTGCCTTCAGCCCGGGCCTGCCCTCTCTCCCTTTGCAGAAGTCCCAACTTCTGTCTTTGGGGACAAGCTGCGAGAGCAGGTGGAAGAGCGCCTGGCCTTCTATGAAACCGGGGAGGTCCCTCGCAAGAACCTGGAGGTCATGAAAGAGGCAGTGGTGGAGGCGAGTGCCGAGGGGGGCTGCGCGGGGCGCGTTGTTGGGCATGATGAGAGCTCCGAGCCTGACCAACCTCTCGGTGGAGGCCAAAGCTGATTTAATGAGCCTGATCCCACAAGTGCCCTTTGGACGCCCAGAGCCTGGCGGGGGGTGGGGGGAGAGTTGAGCCAGGGTGACCGTCCCCCCCCCTCCGCAGGCTTCAGAAGCAGCAGCTGAAATCAAAAGAAAGTTGGAGAAGAAGCAACGGAAGAAGCAGAAGCAGGAGAAGAAGCGCCTGGAGGCCTTGGCAGCAGCCACAGAAGCAGCAGAGATGCAGAACATGCAGAACTCGGCCCTGGAGTCTCCCGGACAGGTGCGGTCCTCCCTCGTCATGGAGGGCTGGGAACGGCCAAGGCCACCAGTCTTGAAAAGCCCCAGAGCCGGGAAGGCTGCCCCCAAAGCAACAGTTTGCGTTTCGTAGTGGGAGGGCTGTTGTGTAGGAGACTGCACTGATGGGGTGTCTTCCTCCTTCACAGGAGAACGAGGTGAAGCCCAAGAAGAAGAAAAGGAAGCCCCAAGAGGTGGAGGCAGAGCCGGCCGACAACGGCCTGGCAGACAAAGAAGCGCCGTCGCCCAAGAAGAAGAAGAAGAACCGGCAGTTGCCGCTGGTGGCAAAGGCCCCCCCGGCCCCCCAGGGGAAGAAGACAAAAAAGAGGAAGGCCAAGGCAGAAGAGGACGACGACGACTAGTGTGGAGGAATCCAGCCGATGATGTGAAGTCCGTCCGGTTTTGCTTGTTTGAATGAAGTTTGGGATTTGTTTTCGCACAACCCAGAACTCTCAAGACTGCAGGCCCAGCGGACTGCCGCAAGAGGCTCTGCCTGGGCTCTGGGGGGGCAAGGCAGCCATGAACGGCTGGGCTTCTTCCAAAAGGCAGAGGAGAGAAGAAGCAGGTCAGGCTGTGGCCGCCGTGCTGCCCCCCCCCCCCCATTGGGGACGGGGCAAGCAGAAATGCCCATGGCAGAAGCAGACTATAAACCTGAACGCTCTTTATCCCACATGACATAATAAAATGTACTTTTTATACAGCAGTTCCTCATATTCAGCCTCTTTGAGGAGGGGGGGTCAGCTCTGCCAGTCTGCCCTATCCAGAGGCTTCAGTCAGGCTTGAAATGGGGGGGGGCACTGAACTGGCAGTTTTGGGCTCCCCCCAAGCAGTGCTGCAAGGACCAGAGTGCTGCTCCATTGAGCAAAGAGGGCGGCTGACTCAGGCAGTCTAACGGTTTAGGGGAAAATATCCCCCCTCCCCCCGCCAAATGAAACCCCAAGCTAAAAAGGTGCTGTTTTGGGCCCCCCACCCCAAAGGCCCAGCACTGGGCTCTTTCCAGTGCTGCCCCTACCCTAAAGCCACTCATCTTGGCTGCCCATGATGGCGCATCCCCAGGTCAAAGTTGGCTGAGTGAAGGGACTTGCGCTGCCCCTTAGGTGCTACAACCCCTCAGCCTTCTGGTTTTGGGGGGAGGGGTTGGACACTCCCCCATCTTTTTCTAAGCTAAACTCAAGACAGTTGGACTCAACTGCTTCACCTTAGGCCTCAGGCATGTGCGGTGGCGTGTCCTGTCCTGCCAGCCCAGAAAACTGCCCCCAAGAGTCAGCCTTTTTTTTTCTCGAGGTGTGCCTGCTTGCAGTCAGCCAGGATCCCCTGAGCCCCAGGGGTAACAGCCTCGTGGAAAGCCAGCATTATTCTTCTCGTAACTGAGCCAGTGGCCCCTTTTATTACATGCATCTGAGCAGTTACAACAAACTAGGAGTAAAGGAAGAAACACGGAGCGGCCTGGAGCTGCCACACGAGCAGAGCAGCCTCCTAGTCAGCCAGAGCGGTGATCACGGCGCGGGTGAAGTCATTGGAGGTGGCGTAGCCTCCCATGTCCGCCGTTCGCACCTGCCAAGAGAAGAGCAGCAGAGGGGCAGCCTTGGCCGGCCTCCCAGGCGCCAATCCTGGCGCTCCCATCGCCTTCAGCCTCTGTGCCCTGGGAGCCTTGCCAGGCATGCCCGGCCAGGGACCACCCCCCCCCCCCGTCTCCCAGCAGGGCAGGGCAGGTGCTGAAGGCAAGGGGAACTGCCAAAATCTCCACTGAGAAAAATACCTGGCATTTTCAAAGGGAACTCCAAAGCCGGAGGCAGAGCTGAATTGCCCCACCGCCTCCGTGACGTTCTGCGTGATGCACAGGGTGGCCTTCGCGGGCCAAGAAAGCCCAGTTTGGAAGGGGTTAAGGCAGCGTGAACTGGGGGCGAAGGAATCCCAGAGCGTCTCGCCTTTTCCTCCAGGGAAGCTCCCCGAGCAGGGTGGGAGGGGTCCCTTTCTCCCGGGGAGGGTGCCCGGCTGCCACACACAATCTGCCATTAGCCATAACTAATAGTTTATGGGTTGGCCAGGCTAAATGGGGCAACCTCAGGAAGAAGCTGCCAAGGCTACAGACCGTCTGTTGTCCCAGCATGGATGGAGGAAGAGGTTTGGGGGAACCGGGCGCCTGTCAGACCAACTTCCCATTACAGGAAGTCCTCAAGGGATCAGTTATGTTCCCAATGGCAGCCCATCTGGGGAGGGGGGGTATTTACGTCCCAGATCTGAAGTTCTGATGGTTTCCCCCACCAGAGTCGCAGGGCCACGCTCCAGGTGCTCGGCAGCCTAGCTGCAATGATGGCCGCTGCCTGGCTGCATTTTACAACCGTTTTGCCCCGTTTACTCGCAGGGAGCAACGCAGCCGATCCACAGCAAACCAGGGTTTCACTTAACAACTGCAGTGGTTGCTTGCTGCCTGCCACAAATAAGCTTCTAAAATTGGGTCATCACACGAGGACTATCATGGCTTGCACCTGCTCTGTGACAGTCATAACTCAAGGACTGTCTGTAGTGGCCCATCTAGCCCAAGAGGAGCCTTGCAGGGGGCACCCACACCCTCCTCCCCCCCCAATGGGCAGCCATCCCTTCTGGTGGCCATTCTTGCACTGGAATAAAAAATAGCTGGTGAGGGGTTCTCAGCCTGCCTCCCACCGTGGCCCCCCCCCCCCGGGGCAGCCCCAAGACTGCAAGCAAGCCGCCTCCCCCCCCATCAGGCCCAACGGAGCACAGAGGGGTGCCAGGCCCACCGTGGGTGGGATCCTCCTCCCGGTGCCTTAAAGGAGCCGCTCCTTCCCTTGGCACAGCCAACCGGCATGGGGCGTGTGGAGGGAGGAGTTGTGGGGGCGCCAGGCCCATTTGGGCTGCATTCCTCCCACACCTCAAATCATCTTCCTTTTTGAGGAGAGGAAAAGCAGCCTTGCTCACCTTTGGGGTGGCCTTCCAGCCCCCACCTCCCTCAGTGCAATCAGCCACTCTGTTCCCCATGGGGCCCTCCTGGCTGTGCTCTTCCAGAGGACCCCAACAGCCAGGAGGTCTTGGCAGGGAAGCCCCGTCTCTGGCACATCGCTTCACCCTCACTCGTACGAACCAGGGTGGCCCTTCCGCCACACACACCCCCCACCCCGAGCTGGGCCTCCGTGCAGTCGGCCTGTCCTTCCAGCCCTGTGCCCTGCGAGGGTGGCCAGCTCCTCTCTGACCGCTGAGCGGCCTCAACTCCTTGCCAGAACACGAGATCTCCGCTTGCTTCCCTCTCCGCTTGCTTCCCTCGGGCGCCAACCACATCCCGGGACTGGCCCCTTTTAGGGGATAAATGGTGCCAAGTGTTTCCAGGGAGACTGACAGCAGCTCCAGGAGCATCCGGGACGGAGAAGACGGAGCAGTTGCTGGGAGGGGGGAGCGAAGGGGGGCTTCTCCTGGCCCAGGAGTCACCCGTTGGTTTTCTGCATCATGCATTACAAGGGAGATCTGCCAGGATGCTTTTGGCCCACCAGGAACCCCTCAGCTGCCAGGAATCAGCCGAGAGCCGGAAGGAGCAGAGCTGGCTAAAAAAATCCCTTTTATTCAGACACAGGACAGGTTACACGTCACACCCAAGGGGGACTCCTGAGGCCCACTCACCGCCAGTACCAGGAGGGCCCGCCTGGCAATCTCTCTCCCCATCACCCCACGAGCCCTGGCAGGTTCTTCCCAGAAGTCCTGGTGGTCTTCCGCAGGACTGAAGGGGGCCCAATGGACACCACAAGGCCCATGCTCCCCAGCCAGCTCTCCTCCAAGAGCCCTCCGGGGGGCACCCTCCCATCCCTTGACACACCCACTTTCTGCCCCAGAGGTCGCTTTCCAAGGGGACACCCCACTGCAGAAGGCTCCGGGCAGGGCTCCCCCATCCCTTCCAGCTGGAGCAGACCAGACCTTTGGAGGTCCTGGAGCGACTCAAGAGGCAGGAGGAAGAGGAGGAGGAGGAAGGCATTTTCTTCCCCAGCAATCTGGGGCTGAGAGAGGCTGCCGGGGAGGGCCAAGGCTGCTGAGGGCAGGGGAGGGCCAGGGGCAGCCTGAGCCTAGACCCCGTAGTGGGGGTGGAGGTGGTCAATCACAGACTTGATGAAGTCCGAGGTGGTGGAATAACCGCCCATGTCCTGTGTCCGCACCTACAATCCAGCATAGGGAGAGGGAGGGAGAAAAGTGGTCATCAGGCTGTGTGTGTGTGTGTGTGTGTGTGTGTGTGTGTGTGTGTGTGTGTACGTGCAGAGGCACAGAAAGGAAATGGGACAGGAGAGCAGACAGGACAGGAGACAGACAGCACCAGAAGCGCCCAGGAAGCCCAGCGAAGCCTGCAGCTCCTCAGCCTGCCCGCCCACAGAACGGAGCCCACAGCCGTAACTGGCAGGAGAAACCGGTGCAGCCCCCCGCCTGCCTGCAGCTGCCCCCTACCCCAGGACCCCCAACTCCGCCTCCTTTTCTGCCAGCTGGGAAGAAAGTGAAAGCCAAGCCCTCCAGGGCAGCCGTCGCACTGACCTTGCCCACTTTGATCACCTTCTTCACCGCATCGGAAATCATGGTGGAGTGGTGCTCCAGGCTGCGCAGGAGAGAGGAAGGGTGCATCTCAGCAATGCGGGGGGGGAGGACGGTTTGCCCTTCACCACTGCCCTGTGAGGTAGGCCAGGCCAATGGGCAGGGAGCAGCCTCCAGCATATCCCACCCGGCCCAGTGCCCCCAGCTCAGGAACCTACTTCAGATGCCGCAGCATGTTTGCCGAGGAGAGCAGCATAGCCGTGGGGTTGGCGATGTTCCTCCCGACCGCCTGGGCAAAGGGGTGGCGGGCACCCTGCAAGAGGAGCAGAAGGATCCCTGCAGGGCCCCCAGCACGCCTGCTGGCCCCGACCGCCCTGAGGGAAGGGGGGCAGGGGGCACACCCAGGCCCAGCCTCGTCCTCACCATCTCGAACACGGCAAAGTCCGCGCTGTAGCTCTCCCCCGGGACCACACCGGCCCCGCCCACCAGGCCGGCTGCCAGGTTGTCGATGATGTTGCCGTACAAGTTGGGCATGACCAGGACGTCAAACTGGTAAGGGTTCTGCACCAGCTGAAAAACAGGCGTGCTCAGCCCTCCGTGGAGGGTCCGGCTGCAGAGCCTGACTGAGCCAGATCCAGCCTGGAGCCCTGCTGGACAGCCGCACTCTGCACTCTGGTCTGCAGGGAACTCTGGGTGGAGCTCAGCTGCCCTCCTGGGACAGAGGTCTGAGGGACCCCTGGAGGAGGAGGAGGAGGAGGAGGTGGGGGCTCAGCTCTGAAGCCCTCCCCTCGCCCCCCCCCCGGGGCCTCTTAACCCCGAAGACCCCTTGTTGGACGGGACCCTCCAAGACCCTGCACGTCAAAGCAACTCAGACGCCGGCCGGGCATAGTCTGTTTCCGGCCTCATGTGGGCAGGGGACGGGGAGGATCCAGTCTAGGCATCCACGCTGCCCACGTGGCCTCCAAAGAGCAGCACTGAGGAAGCTGCAATGCCCACATCATCAGCCCAGGTCCCACAGCCGCCGGATGCTGGGCAGCGGAGAAAGGACCCCTCCCCCAAGGAAGGGGTCCCAATCCGGGAGAACGGGCTCCGCGGCCTCCAGACCCCCCCCCAAAGCAGCCCAGCCGGGCTAAAGGATGGAACTTCAGTGGCCACTTAAGAGGCCTGAGAAGGTGCCACGCAAGACTGTTCCACGTGGAAATCACAGGCCGGGGAAAGTGGGGAATGGGGGCACTGAGCAGACTGGGGCCAGATTTGGGTTTTTTCCCCTGCAAGAACAAAAAACCATTTTTCTGCTTTCTGAGAAATTAGCTGTGCTGCCTTCACATAAAACCGGAATCCTAGAATTGGGAGGGGCTGGGGAATCCAACCTTTGGAAAAGCCTCCGGGGGGGGCGACAGGGGGCTCTCCAGCCTCCACTCGAAGCCCCTCAGAAAAAAGGAGCCAGATCTGCTCTGGACCACAAACTCATATTGGTGGCCAGGCGAATAAGCCACCATTGCTGGGCCCACGGGGTCTGCAGGGGCCCCGCTCCGACTCCAGGATCCATGGCTGGCACCCGAAGCACAAATTATCCAACCTAATTTTGGGGTTCCAAACCACCAACTTCCTTGCATTTTTTCCTCTCCTCTTTCCTTCGAGTAGCAAAACCGAGGGGCTGCCAAACTGCTGGAAGCTGCCCAGGCTGGCTGCTGTGGAAAAGGCGAGGTGCCCCTGGCCTCGTGGGTGCAGGCAGCCCCCCCAGCCCCCCAGCAGAGACCCCCCCCATCCAGGCCCCTCCCCTCTCCGCGTCCCATCAGGCACGAAGCAGGTCGTCCTACCTGCATGCAGCAGTTGTCTATGATCATGGTCTCGAAGGTGATCCTGGGATACAGCTCAGCCACCTCCTCGCAGCAGCGAAGGAAGAGCCCGTCCCCCAGCTTCCTGGAAGGAGGGCAGAGACACGTCCTCACACCGCCCCGGATGGCCCACAGTGCCAGGTGCTACATGACCCCCAAGGACTCCCCCCTGCCAAGAACGACCCTGACACAGCCAAGGAGGCTCGGCCTGAACGAAAGAGGCCGAACGGGTCAGCTGGAGGAGCCAGGAGGCCCAGAGGGCAGTGGCTCCTTAGCAGGCAGCGAAACTGGGGGGAGCCCGGCCTTGGAAGTTGCTGAGGTGGCTCTCCTGGGCAGAGACAGGGCCACGAAGGGCAGCCTCTGACCGCCTCGTGCCCATGGGTGATCCTTCTTCCCAGGCCCCAAATTAAGCAGGTGGGACGAGGCCACAAAGTAGCTGCCCTCAGCACCAGGGCAAAGGAAGAGGACGGGGAGGGAGGCGTGTTCCGGTGTGCCACAACTTCTCCAATCGCAACATCCATGTTCTTTTGACATACTGTATAGGGGTCTACATAGCACGTACTTTGGCTTGCGTCAATTTTGCTGCCAAGCAGGCGCCTCTGTGGGCTACCCAAAGCTGCCAGAGATCTGGGAGGAAGGGGGGTCATGCAAAGGTCTTCGCCTCCCACCCTCCCCAGATCCGCTGAGGCAGGCAGGCTCACTTACATGATGTTGGCCTTGTGTACCGCAGTGACTTTGTTCCTCCCCTTCTTGGTGGCAAAGTCAAAGGCAAACTTGGCGATGCGCTGGGATTTGGCCCGCGTGATGATCTTCATGCACTCAATGACTCCCTTTGCGCTCTGAGCACGGAGAGAGGCAGAAGCCGTCCCTGAGCCCCTCACTGGAGTCGCTGGCCCCCCAGCTCCCCTTGGCCCTCCTCTCCCTGCACTGTCTCTGTCGGGCTGGCCACTAAGCGGAGCAGGTAGCCCAGCAGCTGTATGCGAAGCCACTGCTCCAGGGAGCCCACATTCCGGATCAGGGCTCTGCTCTCTCCCCGGCTGTAGCATTGACCAGAGGCAAAACACAAGCGGGTCTCGCCCACCCACTTTGCTAAGTACTGCATAAGGGGGGCCTTCTTTCCTTTTTACGTTTATCTCTTCCAATTACATCCTCTAGATCTGGGATCCCCAACCCCCGGGCTGTGGACTGCTAGAGACCCGTGGCCTGTTAGGGACTGGGCTGCACAGTTGTAGGTGAGCGGCAGTCAAGCAAGCAAAGCTTCATCTGCATTTGCAGCCCCTCCCGGTGCCAGCGCCGCCACCTCTGCTTCTCCCCAGCTCATCAGGCATCAGATTCTCTTGGGAATGCAAACCCTGGTGCAAACTGCTCATGGGAGGGATGCACGTTCTGTCCCCTCCTTGGTCCGTGGAAAAATTATCTTCCGCAAAACTGGTCCCCATTGCCAAAAACTTTGGGGACTGCTGCTGTAGGTGGCCGATTGGGAAGCCACTTAAACTAAGGAAAGCACAAGAGAAAGCCCTGCTGGTCACTCCCAGATTTCCCTTCAGCCTACTGCACCTGTTGCTAAGCTGGTTACCTTTTGTCCTGCTGGGAAACTAACCTGACACCTCACCCCACCCCTGGCCAGTCTATAGGGCCTCAGTGGACGACGCTTTGGGCTTTGTGCTGGTGCAGCCCCACTCCAGACTCACTGGAGACATCGGCAGCGCTGCCCCTCCCCCGGACCACTTTGGAAGCCCGGCCAGCGCAGCTGTAAGTCAGAGGGACGCAGGGCCCACCTCGTGCTCCAGGGAGCTATACTCGCCCTCCGTCTGCTCACGGATGATCACCAGGTCCAAGTTGTTGTGCCGAGTTTTATAGCCAGGCAGGCTGCTGATGTGAACCACGTTGGCAAAGAGGTCAAGCTTGCGCCTGCAAGGAGGGGCCAGGGGTGGGTTACTTCCAGTATCCAGGCCTGGAGCTCCCTGCTGCCCCCCCCACCCTCCGGACCCAAAAGGCTGCAGAGTGGACGCTGGGGGGGGGGGAAGGAAGCTGCAGTTCCTTCCCCCCCAGCAACCTACCTGAGCCTCATGTCGTAGGAGGCCAGCTCCCCTTTGTACTCCATGGGGGTGTGGATCTTCCCTGCAAGGAAGGCCAAGAGAGGCCAGGCGGTGAGGGGGGGGAAGGGAGAGAGGGTCGCCCAACCTCCTCTCCCACCCCACCCCACCCCACCCCCGTGCCCGCCCCCCCCCCGGCCAGAAGCCTCACCTATGAGGGCCACCTTGCTCTTCTCCATGGACTCCAGCACCTGGTCCAGGATCTCCTCCGAGGCCATGTTCTGCACCTCGCTCAGGTGGTGCTCGTCGAACTGCACCGGCACACCCGCCACCTGCACGGTCCGGGGAGGGGGGGGCGAGAGCAAAGCGGGACGTAGCAGGCAGGGCTGGAGGCCTCCGCGCACACACACACACACACACACACACACACACACAGAGCCGCTCCCAAGGACGCCCCCCCGCCCCCCCCACCTCACCTTGAAGACCTCCTTGACGGAGTGCATCAGCTCCGGTCCCACGCCGTCCCCCGGCAGCAGCGTCACCGGGAAGGCCCGCTCCGCCTGCAAAGAGCCGGAGGGTCGCGAGGGGCCGCCGCCAGAGGAGCCCCCTCCCCGCCCCCCCGCCTCCCCCGCGACCCTCACCTGGGCCGGCCTCTGCAGAAGCGTCGCCGAGCCGGAGAGGCCCCGCAGGAGCCGCTGCAAAAGAGGGAGGACCGGGTGAGCCGGTGAGCCCCGCCGCTCGCCCCCGCCCCCGGCCCGGCAGGACCCCCGCCCGCTCACCCCGCCCGCGGAGGACGCCCGGGCGCCCTTCAGCGCTGCCGCCAGCGCCATAGATCTCCAGGAACCACAGAGAGGCCGGCGGGGAGCGGCGCTCCGCCTTCCGGGTGCGCTGCCGGAAGGGGCCGGCTCCCGGCTGCCACGAGCGACCCTCGGGATTGGCCCTCGCCCTGACAGCGTCTCTCCCCCCCACATACACGCCCCTCAGTGCGCACGTGACCGGGGGAGCACCCGGGCTTCGCTGGATTCGGAGGAGGAACCAAAGCCGGATTTTTTTTTATAAACTTGGTGACTTCCAGACGGGGGCGGGGTCCAACTCCCAGAATGCCCCGGCCTCGTTAGGCCTGTTGGGGGCGACGCAGACCGGTCCCGGCGGCGAAGGAGCGGCTCCCACCGGGGCGCGCCGTCTGAATGCAGCCGCTCCGGAAGGGCGGATCAAGCTCAGCGCCCCCCCCCCGCCGCTCCCAGGGCTGCACGGGGGGCTCCGGCTCGGCCAACGCGGCCCCTCCCCGGGCTCCTGCCGGCGGCGGCCCCTCCTGCAGTGGCCAGCCGGGCCTTCGCTCCCTCCCGGGGAGCCCGGCCGGCCCGCAAGGCGCCAGCCCCCGGGGGCCTCTCAGGGGCGGCGGGGGCAGCCTCGGCCTCGGGGCCGCCTGTAGGGCGCTCCGCCCGCGTCCTCAGTCCCTGCTCGAAACTCGGAGCGCTCCTTCCCCGCAGCCGCTCAGCGCCGCCCGCGGTCGGAAGGGCCCCCCCAGCCCCCTCCCGGGCAGCCCCCAGATCGCCCAAAGGGCCGAGGTCTTCTCCCCCCGGGGAGCCCCAGAAGGGCCCTTCCCGAAATGGCAGCTGCCGAAGTCGGGACTGGGAAGCTACACAGGAATTCTCGGCGTCCCCTCCCTCCCTTCCTTTCTCTTTCTTTCTTTCTTTCTTTCTTTCTTTCTTTCTTTCTTTCTTTCTTTCTTTCTTTCTTTCTTTCTTTCTTTCTTTCTTTCTTTCTTTCTTTCTTTCTTTCTTTCTTTCTTTCTTTCTCCCTCCTTTCCTTCCTCCCCCTCCCCGCATCCTGGGCGGTTAGCAGCCCCGGAGGAGCTAATGAGCTGAGCTTGAAGAGGCGTTAATGGGGTGGGAGAGGCTGCCTGGGAGTGGGGCTTGGGGAATCCTCCTCCGTCCCCCCACACAGACACAGGGAGGAGGAAAAGGCTGGCTCGTCCCTTGCTTGCCTTCTGCAGGTGCCTTCCTTGCCCCCCCCGTTCCTGCCCCAGCAATGGAGGTGCAGCCCTCCCACGGTGCCGGGGCATTCCCACGCAGGTTGCAGCACCTGCTGAGTTCGGGGATGATGGGTTGAAGAAGACATCCCCGGACTGTAGAGCAGACTGTGAGGTTTAACCTCCCCAGCCAGGAAAGGTAGTAGTAATAGTAGTAAAGTTGGAAGGGACCTTGGAGGTCATCTAGTCCAACCCCCTGCTCAGGCAGGAAACCCTACACCATTTCGGACAAATGGCTGTCCAGTCTCTTCTTAAAAACTTCCAGTGTTGGAGCATTTACTGCTTCTGGAGGAAGGCTGTTCCACTGATTAATTGTTCTCACTGTCAGGAAGTTTCTCCTTAGTTCTAGGTTGCTTCTCTCCTTGGTTAGTTTCCACCCATTGCTTCTTGTCCTGCCTTATGGTGCTTTGGAAAATAGCTTGACTCCCTCTTCTTTATGGCAGCCCCTGAGATATTGGAATACTGCTATCATGTCCCCCCTTGTCCTTCTCTTCGTTAAACTAGACATACCCAATTCTAGCAACCGTTCCTTATATGCTTTAGCCTCTGATGCAGATGTGCCTCTGTGAAGAAGTCTTCAAGAGTCTGAAGGGAGACGGAGAAGAGGGCTGCGTCCAGGGGGAAGGTGCCCTGGCTGCGCTTTGCCCCAGCAGTGGCCCCGACCCAGAAGGAGTGCTGGGCCAGGAGTCGGGCCTGGCCTTCGTGAGCAGAGAGCGGGAAGGCCCCCGGGAACTTCGCAGTGGGGACTCAGTCAGGAGGAGGCTGGCAGCCGGTCAGACTTCTGCTGAAACCTGGGGAGGGGATACAGGGCCAGGGAGCATCTCAGACCAATGGGCTATTAGCAAGATAATGATTATTTTTATTAATGTTATTGATGGAGGGATGGGGGTTTTATTTCGGGCCACGTATGGTTGGGTTATTATTGATTGTGGGAATTTACTATTTATATTTTATATGTTTCTGTTTTGGATGTACATTTCCCACCGCTGTGCCTCAAATGAAAACACATCTCAGACTTGGCTTTGACAATAAAATAAAATATAAAATAAATAACAACATAATAAATACCTTATAAAATAAGCCAATAAAACCCATTGCCATCAGCCCCATGTGGGGAGCCAAATGTTCCTGAGCATCTGAAGCTGCTCTGAGGGGCTTGGTGTTGTCTCTCATGGGGAGGAGAGACTCCCACCCTCATCCCCCCACTCCCACCTTGGGCTTTAAACTGGCAGTTTTCACTTGGTGATCCAGCAGCTATTTTACTATTCTCCAGCCTTTCCTGGAGAATTGCTACCTGCTGGGTCCTGGGTGGGGCTCTTTGGGCAACCAGGGAGCCGCCCTCCTACCCCCCCCCCCATGGAGGCTGGAGAAGGTTGGGTCCCTTCCGGAAATCGGCCTAGGGCTGGCTGTGCATTTTCCCCAGACTGGGAATCCACACAGGGCTTGAGCCAAAGGGGATTCAGTTGTTAATGACCTCCATTGTTGGATGGGGGCTTCTAATTCCTCCCCCCCCCCAGGAAAGAACTTCCCCTCAGCTCTTGAAAGGACCACTTTTAGCCAGGATCTCCCATGGCCTTGAGCAGCCCTCTCTGGGCATGCAGCCCCCCCTCCACCCGCCCTCCAGGGAAGCTTAATGGCTGCTAAGAATCCAGGGTATTTCACACCCTCCCTCTGATGAGCTTTGGAGGAGGCAACATTAATGATTAAATTTACTGGCCCATTCACGGAAAGCGGATAATTATCCAGAGGACAAAGATAAGTGGCTGATTGGAACAAAGCAAGAAATAATTACTTCAGAAAACTTTTTCCCGGCAGTATGAATTGAAATAAAATCCAGACATTTCATCACTTATGCTATTGTTTTGTTTCATCAGTTATACTATTGTTTGTTACTTTAGGCTGACCTAATTAGCCTGAGCAATTAAGTAATGCTGGAAGGGCCTTTTGCAAAACTATCAAGGCAGTGAGGAACCTTAAGGCTTCGGCAAAGATTGTGCTTTGTGATCATAGCCCACTTTGTGATTATGAGATAAGCTGACACGGAGCACTCTTTAAGATGATTGCTGCTTTAATGTAATCACGGCCAGCATCTCCTGCCTTGAGTTGCGCTGTCATAGCCACCTTTGGTGCCCAGGTGGGAATCGGGTGCCTCATTCCATGGGCTGCCCCACTTCACTCCCTCACCCTTGTGTTTTCTGATTTCTCCTCAAGAGCCTCATCTCTTTACCATTTTTGTTCTAATGAGATACTTAAGGACCCCTCCATCGCTTCATCCAAGGCAGCAGTTAAGATGAGGGCTGCTTCCTCACCCTGAGTATCCAGGTCAACCTTCTTAGTATTGTATGCAGATATTGAAGGGGGGGGCAGTCAAGGCAAATACTTGCCCGCTTACACCCCAAAGCTCCTATCATGGCGGTGGCAGATGTTCCCTCACGGGAAACGGGGCTTACTTTGACAAGGCCTATGTCTCCTTAAGCACTGTGTGGTGCTTAATCTATGGTTTTGTGGTGAAAAGAGCCAGGAAAACACCTGAAGCCAGCCAGCCCCCCCCCCCCAGGATCCATCACCTTCCGAGCAGGCTCAGTCATGGCCTGCTCCCCCCAAGGCCTCCCTGGGCCAAGAGAGCCTGGAGGGCATTTTGGAAGGATTCGAGGGGGGGGGCGCCCCCTCGGAAGGCCAAGCTGCCACCTGATCAGAGGCCTTTTGGAGCCTGGCAGTGGCAGAGAAGCTGAGCTGGCCCAGGAAGCAGCCTGCCGTTGCCCACCTGAGGTACCCAGGGACCCCCTGGGCTCCACCCCTCAGCTCCGCAGGGCAAGGGCCTTGGATTCAGGCCCTGGGGAGGGAGGCACCTGGGCCAGGCCACCTAAGAGGCCACCTAAGGGTGCCTCGTGAGGAGACCCTGAATGCCGGCAGCCCTGGCGCCATCCTCCCAGCTGCCCTGCCTTCCTCCATCTACACCTGCTATGCATTCCCAGCCTCCCAAATGTGCCCCCTCCCCAGCCAAAGAATTGGGAAAGCCCTGAGTTGGCCAAGGAGTCCGGAACTGGGCCAAAACCCCCCCCTTGCCCGGGTGGGCATCAGCAGGTAGGCAAGGCCCAGCTCTCTGCTCAGCTGGGCTGGGCGGAGCAGGACTGCCAGAGAGAGAGAGAGAGAGAGGAGAGAGGAGAGAGAAGAGAGAGGAGAAAGGAGAGAGAAGAGAGAGGAGAGAGAGAGAGAAAGAGAGGAGAGAGGAGAGAGAGAGAGAGAGAATATGTGTTTCTGTGTGTGTGCTGGCCCCTCTGAAGCAGCTGGCCACCCGCCCTCCCTGTCAGCCCCAGCTGAGAGGCCTCTGACGTGGGTGTCCCACAAACAAACTAGGATGGAAGGAAGCAATTCTCCCCCTACACATACACACACACCACACACACCCGTCTTTTGATAGGTGTGAGGTGGGGGGAGTTGTGCTGGCCCCCATCCTGGGACAAACAAATCTGTTTGCCTTCCCTGGGGGGGGGAGCTCTTTGGGAGAGCTGTTCTCCCACAAGCATGTTTAACCACTTTATGGGGTCTTGTTTGCAGAGCTGCCTCTGCAGGCTCCTTTGAAATGGGCTGGCAGTGGGGGGGGGCCTCTGCAGCTGCTCCCCAACCTACTCTCTGGGGTGCCAGCCGGGAGCCCCTCGGCCGCCTTTCCTTCCGAGGGGCTGTGCTCCTTGATCTGACCGAGGCTGGCTCAGCCCCTGCCTCCCCTCAGGATGAGCCCAGCCAGCCTGTGTGTGCGGGGCGTGTCCAGGTCACAGGCCAAAGAAACTGCTAAGGCTTCCCAGCAGTCCATCTGGGTCGGACCAAGGCAGCCCCCCCCCCAGCGTAAAGTATGTT